CCAAACGAGACACTGCTATCAACGGGTTGAGCCTCAAACGACACACTTGCATCAATGAATGTAGCTCCAAAGCAGGCACCGGTCAGGAGCACCGCCGCCAGACCGAGAATTATCAGCATGTCCTGGCATTAAGGTGCGCAGTAGGCGCTCCGCAGTTCCTGTGAAAGGAAATCTTCGAAAGCAGGGCTGTAGCCAAGAAGGCTACGGGGACGATGATGATGATGATGATGAAGATGATGAGTCTTGGAAGTGTGGGAAAGGAAAAGCACGCAGTGGCGTACAGTTGGCTCCGGGCATTCAAAATGTGGCCCGGGAGTGGACTTCTGGGAAGTGGAAGAACACGAAGTGGCCTACAGTTGGCTCTGGGCATTCAAAATGTGGCCCGGGAATGGTGTTCTGGGAAGTCGAAGAGCACGAAGTGGCCTACGGTTGGCTCCGGGCATCCAGAATGTGGCCCGGGAATGGAGTTCTGGGAAATCGAAAAACACGAAGTGGCCTACAGTTGGCTCCGGGCATTCAAAATGTGGCCCGGGAATGGAGTTCTGGGAAGTCGAAGAGCACGAAATGGCCTACAGTTGGCTCCGGGCATTCAAAATGTGGCCCGGGAATGGAGTTCTGTGAGGTCGAAGAGCACGAAGTGTGCGACTGTTTGCTTACAACGAGCCCGGCCCTGTCCGGCTCCCGCCCAGACCCCCCTGGGGAGTCATCAGATGCTCTCTTTTGAAACCATTAACCTATCAGTCTTCGCTGTTAGGTAAAAATCGGAGGTAGACACCACATCGCAACGCACAATAGCATGCTAACGTGTATACGTGTGTGTTACATAAAGAACAGCTGCTGCAATTAGCCTTGCCTCGCACACTTACAAGACACCATGACGCAACGGACAGAAACGCAAACACGCACACACACGTGCCCTGGCGCACAACATGGAAAACACCTGTCCAACGACACACGGGCACGACACACATCTTGCTTACAACGCGTATACATCACATGCACTAGTGAAGACAACCATACTGCTATGTTCCATACGTGACAGGCATCCGGGACACGCGTGAACATCGCACGTACATGGCACGAACACATACGCACACGCGACGAACACATACATGAACCACGGAACGTCAGAGTGAGGGGGTCGAACGGTCATTCATTGTCCCTGGGTGCGTGGCTGAAGTGGGGATCCGTGGTGAGGATTCTGCTTGTTACGTTGTTGTTTGTTGTCGTCGTCCCCCCCCCGACCCACCCCGCGATCCACCCCGCGACCCACCCCGCGACACACCCCGCGATCCACCCCGCGATCCACCCGCGACCCACCCCGCGACCCACCCCGCGACCCACCCCGCGACCCACCCGCGACCCACCCGCGACCCACCCGCGACCCACCCAGCGACCCACCCCGCAACCCACCCTGCGACGCACCCGCGACCCACTTCCGACGCACCCGCGACCCACTTCCGACCCACCCGCGACCCACCCCGCGACCCACTCGCGACACACCCGCAACCCACCCGCGACCCACCCGCGACCTACCCACATTGGTTTAAAGAAAAATCGGCGCCTGCGGCGGGCTTCACCAGAGTCTCGCAAACTGCCGACGTCCCCACCGCCCCCTCACTCTTATCCGCATCTGCGGGGTACTACGTAGTATACAAGAGTTGCAGGCCGGCGTACTGTTCTTATACAACTGCAGAACACACACTTACACACTTACACACGTACACACCACAAATGCATACTCATAACCACGCATGCGCATGCATACCACGCATACCATGACCACTCAGCCGGGAACACCATCATCCGCCACCGTGCCGTGCCGCTGGGCACAGATTGGGCGTGTCCTCAGGTCCTTTGCCCAATCCGATGAGCCTCAGTCCTCAGCTCTGAGGAATCAAGTAGGGCCCGGGCCGCAATTTCTCAAACTTGGCGGGGCTCGGCGCGGCTCCCCTGGGCTCCCCCGCGTCTTCTTGTCACATGATTTCTGTGGGCCCAGGATGGCCTCAAGGCGGGCCAAGAAGGCCCTAAGAGGCCCGCAGATAGGTCCAAGAGGGCCCAGAATCGCCAGACGATCGCTCCAAGACGCCCAAGATGGCCCCCAGACGGCCCAATAGAGGCCTCCAAGACGCCCCAGGAGGCCTCCCAAAGAGGGCCCCGAGAGGCCAAAGTCATTGATTTTCCTATGGTTTTGAAGGATCTGGCGCTCTCGCCGCTTCGGCTCCCCGACGCTCTCAGACGGCCCTGGGAGCCCACAAGACGGCGCCAAGACGGCCCATGAGGCCTCCAAGAGGCGCCCGAAACGCCCAAGAAGCCCTCGGGAGGCCCCCGGGAGGCCCCCAGGGGCACCCAAGAGGCCCCAAGAGGCCACCAATGATGGCCCCAGGAAGCTCCAATAGGCCCCCACGAGGTCCTCAAAAAGGCCCCCAGAGATGCCTCAGCACTGTCCCCCCGAAGCCCACGAGAGCTCTCCGAAGAGACCCCAAGAAGCATCCCTGAGAAGCCTGGCCCACAACCCACTCACGGTGGCGGGATGGGCCGAAGGCTATGCGATAGTTGGTTTCAACTAGTTGTCGATGTTTCTAGGGGTGGCTGGGGGTTCTAGGTGGTCTCAGGGGTCTTGGGCGACTTGTGAGGCTTCAGGGAAGACGAAGACGAAAAATAATAATAATGATAATAATAATAATAAGAAGAAGAAGAAGAAAAAGAAGAAGAAAAAGAGGAAGGCGGAGGAGGAGGAGGAGGAGGGAGGAAGAGGATAAGCATGAGGACGGGGAGGAGGACTAGCAGCAGGCTGAGCAGGTGAGAAGCTTCTGAAGCTCTAGCGTCTTGTCCAACGCCTCCTCCTCCTCCTTCTCCTCCTCTTACCTCTCCCTCCCCCCTCCCTCCCTCCTTCCGCCTTTTTCCTTACATCTTCCACTTTCCTCCTGCCTTGTTCTCCTCTCCCCACCTCTCCCTCTCACACCCCCCCTCCTTCATCCTCCTTCCTGATTATGTTCAACTCAAAAAAATACAATCAAACACTCTCCGAATAACCCCCCAGAAAACCTGGATAACCCATGCTGATTGGTGACGACAAGACGGCCTACCCCAGACAACCCCTTTTAAAACCCAGCGGACATCCGCCCCCCCCCCCCGGGACAACCCTCCTTGGACAAGCCTCCCTGGGATTCTTCTTCCACGAACATGAGAAATCAACATCATTCCTTATGTCTACTTCGTCCTTCCTTGTGTCCGTTTCTCCCTCCTCCACTTCACTTTCCCTTCATCCTGCCTCGCTCCTCACTCCCCTCTCCTCCCTCCCTGCCTCCCTCTTCCCTCCTTCACCCTCCTTGCCCCGGCTCACCCCTCCTCCTTCCGCCCTCCCCCTTCTCCTCCTCCTGCTCCCCTCCCCTCTCCTCCTCCGCCCCCCCCCTGGTTGGAGGAGGGCAACGACGACGAACACGGCGACGACGACCCGCAGCGCGGCGGCGCCAGGGACCCCGCATGGATGGCTGCGCCAGCCGCACGTCTGCGAAGGGGAGCAGGAGGATCGGGCGTTGACACTACGGGCGCTGCAGACGGTCAGTTGAATTTATTTTTCAAAATTTCGAGCAACTTCTCTTGAATTCCCCCAGAACTTCTTCCTCTGAGTTCAAGAAGCATTTTCTTCGAATTCGAATAAGTTCTTATCGGCGTGCTTTTTTAAAATTCCAAAAACAAGTTTTTAGGAGCTCAAAGAGCTTCTCCTCAGCGTGCCGCGGCGGTGGCCCAGGCGACACGCCAGACCCTGCGGGCGGACCGCATCTTGCGCTCCGCTCGCGCGCGGCAGGGCCGGGGAGACAAGACTCGGACACACACACATAAATACACACAAATATAAATATCCGGCACATTTTCCCATATTTTCGGGGTTTTTGTTTTCCCCCCCACTTCCCATATTTTCCCATATTTTCTGAGGAATCGACGATTAATTGTGTCTGTGTTTTTTCCCATCCTGAAGGACGCTCGCAGCGGGTCGCGCCGGGGCGTGGCGTGGGGCAGCGCTGGAGGCGCCACGCGCCGAGCCACAGCTCCTTCGGCCACCTACGCGTCCGCCAGGGGGGGGGGCGAAGGGGGGGGGGGATAGCCAAGGGCAGGGCAGAGGATCAGCTCGCGCAGCTGGTTTTCCCGGCGCCTCTCGGCGCCGGGAGGCGCCCGCGGAGCGAGGAATGGGGGCTCGGCGGCGGGGCCGGAACCAGCTGCACGCAGCAGATTTCCCACCCCCCCTTTCCCTATCCCCCCCTTTCGTTCGGCCCGAACGTAAGAGTGACCCTGGGTAAGAGTGACCTTTGGTGCGCGGCCGAGCTAGAGGGCAGAAAACCCATCCCAATAATAACCACCCCGACACGCGAGGCCTTCAGTAGACGCGCCCAGAAGAGGAATCGAACAGGGCAGCGCTGTTTAGTTGACGCCCAGGGCCGTTTTCCAAGTTTTTGATGCGCGGGCCCTGAAGGTCTGGAGCACTTCCCCTGGGCCGGTCTTTTCGTCCCGAATCGTTTCGTGACGCTCCCGAGGCCCAGCGAAGGCCCCCAGAGGCCGAAAACTGCCAACATCCCGCCGCTCCGATTATTGTTTGGAGCGTCGGATCTCTGGGAGGGTACACCTCCTGTGCACCCCTCGGGGCGCCCAAAAGGTCCCTTTTATGGGGCACCCCTTCCTCCAACCCGATCCCCCCCACCACGATGTTGTCGTACCCCCATGACGGCACGTCGAGATGGAGCAGGGACCGACCGTCCCGGCACTCCTGTAGGCCTACCACGAAATCTTCTTGGAACAAAAGAATATTCTACATATCAAGACTCGGTGCTAAGAGCAGAACCCCGGCGTATCAAAGCAAGGCTGTCTCAGCCAGCAATGTTATCATACGATTTCGTGCTAGCCACGAACGGATATGAGAACATTATTTGGTGGGCCTATAGGAAAACCAAGACGCTTCGCCACTGCTTGACGAGAGGAGCGCGCCCTTTTTCTCCCGGGTCTCAACGCATGAACGCCACACCGATGCAGGTCCAAAATCCGCCAGCCCCCGCCGCCTTTGCGGGGTGGGGGGCGACAAGAGAAGCACAGCATGTGAAGAATCCACCGCTCCCATGCTGGATGACCCCGCTGCGCGCACGTATGCTGGCACGCGTGAAGAATTTGGCGCCCCCCTGTTGGAGCATGGCGCCTACAAGCGTGAAACTGCTTGCCACATGACAAGTTGGACGCCCGAGTTATCCGGGGTAACTCGGGTCCGGGGTAACTCGGGTTTGGGTTCCCGAAGAACGAACCCGAGTTAACCCTGACCCGAGTTACCCCTGATGATTCGGGGCTCTGGACGCCCGAGTTATCCGGGGTAACTCGGGTCCGGGGTAAGTCGGGTTCGGAATCCCGAAAAACGAACCCGAGTTAGCCCTGACCCGAGTTACCCCTGATGATTCCGGGCTCTGGACGCCCGAGTTATCCGGGGTAACTCGGGTCCGGGGTAAGTCGGGTTCGGAATCCCGAAAAACGAACCCGAGTTAGCCCTGACCCGGGTTGCCCCTGATGATTCGGGGCTCTGAGCAAGTTTCGGAAACCCTGAACCCAAAAATGTTGTCATCCTTCGGGGCACATCCTTTACTTCCCCCCTGCTTCCGCCGGCGGAGCCGCCCTCGTTTGACTTCCGCCGGCTTCCGCCGACCTGCCGCCGCCTTCCGCCGCGGAAGAGACGGGAACTCCTTCGACCCTCGAAGGCAGGGCCTCTTTTTGGGACGCCCCACGTGCACGCGTGACAGACGTATCTTCGATTCCCCCCTGCATGCGCGCATTTTCACGTGCGAGGAATCTGGCGTTGGATGCCCCTCCCTTGGCACTCACACGTGTGAGAACTTCACCGGACCAAAACGGGAAGCGCCGCTTGTGCCCACTCGGCTCGTAAGGCGGATAAGAGAAGAAGGGAGAGGAGGACGACAAGAAGGCTGGTGAGAGGATGAAGACAGCGTGGAGGACAAGGGGAAAGCGAAACATACCAGGAGGACTAGGAAGAGGAAAACAAGCAAAAGGACGATGAGGATGAAGACGAGGAGAACGAGCACGAGGATGAGGACGACAAGATCGACGAGGGGGGGGTAGGAGGACGGCAGCGAAGCATACGATATCATACGAAGAGGATAGCTTGGATGAGGAGGAGCAGGAGGGAAAGGCTCAAAGGCCCACCCGCCCAAAGAGAATCCTGAGCCTTAGCCCATACCAGGAACACAAACTGCATCGGCATCAAATCTAGAAGCCCCGCGCGGATTTCCTGGGTCGGCGCTGGACCCCCCTCCCCGCATCCCTCGCGGCGACTCTGGCGGGTCAGTGCCGAAATGCGCACAGAACTCCGAACATCTACATGCCTTGTGCCTGTTCTCCAAGGTCAGGTGCGTGGCACGCAGCACGTGGCCTCGACGCCAGCAGTGAAGTCGCAAAACGAGGACGCACGACCTCTGCACGTCCCCACTGTCGTGGCACCAATCGCAGTTGCGTGGGGCAACGGGCATCGGACCCGTATCAAAGGATGGGCCGAAGAGGACAGGATGCAATGGTAGACTGCACTGATCACGTGCTGCGTTCTCATGATGGGTGCAGCCATTGAGGTGCGATGAAGAGCGCTGAAAAAGGGATGCTCTAGCATCGGTCAGACTCAACCACGAAGAGGTTCCCCGACCTGCATCTGAGACACGGCCTGGAAACCGAAGCCCGTCCATGACCCAAAGTGGTACTTGTTCCAACGTTTTTGTTTTATTAACTCCGGCTGCCAGACACCTCCGCCAGAACCCTAGGTCCTGAAGCACAACAGTTTCGATGGAATTAGGACACTGGGACCTCAAGGGATGGAGGGACACAACCAGGCAAGCAGTCGGAACCGCACGTCAAGACACCGCCTGGGCAGTGCCCAGGTTTATTATCCTAGCTGTCCCTGGCACCAGCGAGAGAGGACGACCTCGCCAGTCCCCTGCTCTCTAAAACCCTTCAGGCCCATCCCAAAATCTGCAAAACTTTGTCCTCCCCATCGTCCTCCTACTGGAGGGGAGGAGGACGACGAAGACGAGAAGGAGCAGGAACAGGATGCCATCGATCACTTGGAGGCTGGGGCATCATAATGCCTGGAAAAAGGAGGGAGGGCAAGGAGATCCTCCTCCTCTTCCTTCTCCTCCTCCTCCTCCTCCTCCTCCCCTCCTCCTCCTCCTCCTCCTCCTCCTCCTCTCCTCCTCCTCCTCCTCTCCCCTCTTCCTCATCCCCTCCCTCTCTCCTCCACCTCCTCCTCTCTCCCCTCATCCCTCTCTCCCCCTCCCCCCCCTTTCCTCACCCTCCTTTCGCCTCCTCTTCCCCCTCCTCCTCCTCCTCCTCCTCCTCCTCCTCCTCCTCCTCGCCAGAAGCTTGCGGACTGGCGCGGGCCCGCAGCATAGATGGACCGGGCGCCCTCGCAGATGCGCGCGAGGCGCGTTCCCGGTCTGCCGGATGCTCCGCGCGCCGCGCCGCGCCCCCCCGTGCGGGGAGTTGCCAAAGGTGCTCCTGGCCCCTGGCCCGAGGAGGAAAAGCATGATGGTGATGATGGTGATGATGATGATGATGATGATGATGATGATGATGATGATGGTGATGATGGTGATGATGATGATGCTGATGATGATGATGATGATGATGATGATGATGATGATGCTGATGACGATGATGATGATGCTGATGCTGATGATGATGATGATGACGATGACGATGATGATGATGATGATGATGACGACGATGATCAGGATAAGGAGGATGAGGATGAGGAGCAGAGACAGGAGGAGGAGGATAATCTATGGATCGAGCCCTGGAGCCAGTTCGGTACTGCACCACTTCCAGACCATGTTTGGACTATTCTAGAATATTCCTCCTGTATAGGAACATGACCGACTCCTCCTCCACGCCTCCATCCCTCTTCCCCTCCATGGCGGAGGACGTCACTCTTTGGCCAGCTGGCTTGCACCCATCACCTCAACAAAATGATCCATAAATCCTCGTCCCTTCTTCTCTCCGTGTTCCTCGTCCCTGTCTTACTCGCCGTCGCCCCCCCCGCCCCTTCTCCACGTCCACCTTTCAGTCCACATCATCCAAAAACAGAATCCATTGGTTGTGGTGTGACTTTGTATTAAATTTCGATCGCGTTGTTACCTAGCGAACAAACGGCGCTCGCGCACGGTCCGCTTCCGACGATTTGGCGAAGGGAAAGCTACGCGGGCCGCGCGGTGGCAGGAACGGCAAAACTTCCGATGAGCTTGTCGAAGACGAAACATTCGCCGCGCCGATACAGCGCTGCCATTTACACAAACTGCGCGGCCCTCGGGCGAGGAAAACATCTTGCCTGCTCTCGCGCAGCTCCGCTGCTTTTGCCGCTTTCATTCGATTCGGCGATTCGGCGAATGACACATGCTCAAGCGAAACGCGCACAGAAATTTGACGAGGGCGACAAGTCACTCGCTCGAGTGGGGCCTCAAACCTTGGCGAGTGACAAATTTGCGCCGCGCTGAAGCGGGAGAGCCACTTTCAAGCGAAATCTGCGCGCCACCCATGCGAGAGCGACCTTTCTTCTGCCCGAGCGTCAAAGCATTGTCGTTGGACAATTCACGACGCGCCCCAGCAGAAGCTCGATTCTCCAGAAGAGTCAACGCGGCGCCGAGGCGAGAGCGACATGTTGCTCTTTCGCGTAAGATGTGCGCCCCATCCCTGCCACGAAGTTTGCGACGTGGACGACGGCCGTCGTCCACGTGGCAGCAGCCAAACAACCAGCCATTAAACGCGTCGGTCAACCCGCGCGCGGCAAGCTGATCGGGAACAGCGGCCAGCGCCCAATCCCGCGGGCGGCCCTTTTCACCCTGGCTGGCCCCGGGTAAGGATGTGTTTAGGACTAATGAGACGGAACGTCCATGTTGAGAACACGCACGTCAGTGTTGTATTGTTCTTTTGGGCAGCAGGGACGAGGCCTTCCAGTTTGGGTGGCCATCGGCCGGCCAGGTGGCGAAGCAGGATATATTCGAATACGGAATCGTGAGCAGAAGGAGGAGGAGGAGGAGGAGGACGAGGAGGAGGAGACAGGACGAGAATGAGCAGGAGGGGGGAGGAGGCATGAAGAGGACGAGGACGGAATGGGATCCGGGGCCTCCCCTGTCCAGCAGGACGGTCCAGCGGCTGTGGCGCTCGCTCGCGCGCGCGGGGGGCATCGAGGGAGGCCTGGCCTCCTCCCCCCGAACCAGCCCGCACTCAGGCACGAGGAAGAGTAGGCAGGGAAGAGGGTGCTGCCCTAGGTGTCCCTGGCACAAGGCATACAAGGCGTCCCCAGCTTGGGAAGAAATGGGAGGAGGGTTCGGAGAAGCAGGAGGAGGAGGAAGAACAGGAGTAGTAGTAGTAGTAGTAGTAGTAGTAGTAGTAGTAGTAGTAGTAGTAGTAGTAGTAGTAGTAGTAGTAGTAGTAGTAGTAGTACAGTAGTACTAGTAGTAGTAGTAGTAGTATAGTAGTAGTAGTAGTAGTAGTAGTAGTAGTAGTAGTAGTAGTAGTGGTGGTGGGGTGGTGGTGGTGGTAGTAGTAGTAGTAGTAGTAGTAGTAGTAGTAGTAGTAGTAGTAGTAGTAGTAGTATGATCGAGCAGAGTGGAGAGGAGGAGAGGAGAGAGAGATGAGAGAGAGATGAGGAGGAGGAGGAGGAGGAGGAGGAGGAGGAGGAGGAGGAGGAGGGAGGAGAAGGAGGGGAGGAGGAGGAGGAGGAGGAGGAGGAGGAGGAGGAGTAGGAGGAGGAGGAGGAGGAGGAGGAGGAGGGTGCTGCCCGAGGTGCCCCTGGTCCAGGTTGTCTCCAAGATCTCGGAGGAGCCTCCTCCCCCCCCCGCGGCCGCCTCCAGAGCACCCCTCGCGCGACGCCCCGAGGGCCCCCGGGGGCTCCGATGGGGGAGCGCAGAGGTGGGGCTGCTCCTCCTCCACCCTACTTCCTCCTGCTTCCTTCCTCCTGCCTCCTTCCTCGTGCCTCCTTCCACCTTCCCCTCCCTCCTCCCTCCTCCATTCTCCTCCCTTCCCCTCCTCCTTCTCCTCCCTCCTCCTTCTCCTCCCTCAATTTCCTCCTCCTCCTGCAATTGCTCTCCCGCTGCTCCTCCTCCTCCAACTGCTCCTCCTCCTCCTCTCCTCTCCTCCTCTCCACTCTCTCCTCCTCCTCCTCCTCTCCATCTCTCATCTCCTCATCTCCTCATCTCTCCTCCTCCTCCTCCTCCTCCTCCTCCTCCTCCAACTGCTACTCCTCCTCCTCCAACTGCTCATCCTCCTCCTCCTGCTCTTTCTCCCTCCTCTTTCTCCTCAAGCTGGGGACGCCTTGGGCCAGGGACACCTCCAGAGCACACCCCGATCAAGATCCGCCTCAAGGCCTGGCGCACGTCAGGCCGGCGGCTGAGCGCCGCCGCTGGCCGGCACGCCCCGCGCAGCCCTTCAGTGTGGCCGCTAGCGCCTGGGCCAGGATGGGAAGGCTCCTCCTCCTCCTCCTCCCTCTCCCCCCTCCTCCTCCTCTTGATCCCCTCCTCCTCATCCTCCTCCTCCTCCTCCTCCTTCCTCCTCCTCCTCCTCCTCCTCCCCTCATTCCTCCCCTCCCTCCTCCTCCATCCTCCTGTATCCCCCTCCTCTCCTCCTCCTCCATTTCCTCCTCCTCCTCCTTCCTCCTCCTCCTCCCTCCTCCCCATCCTCCTCCTCCTCCTCTCCCTCCCTCCTCCTCCTCCTCCTCCATCTCCTCTCCCCTCCTCTTCCTCCTCCTCCTCCTCCTCCTCTCCTCCTCCTCCTCCTCCATCCTCCTCATCGTCGTCCTCCTCCCTCCTCCTACTCCTCCCCGTCCTCCTATCCTCCTCATCCCCCTCCTCCATCCAGCCTCGCTGTCCCTCCATCCCATGTCCCACATAACTCCCTGCCGTCTGGCCGCCAGGCGTGCGGGCAGAGCGGGCCCGGCGTCTCGCCTGAGACTTCCCCCTCTTGGTGGTCCAGAAGCTTGGGAATTCCCGGCGGTTGCACAGATGGAGGGAGGGGTTCTTTAAACGTGCGGCTCTTGCACTAACGCGGCGCGCATTCGTCTGAAACGTTTCCAGCAGTTCCGAGGAGGGAGAGGACTACGATGCAACATGTTGCTCCCGCATGGGCGCCGCGCACATCCGTCTCAACATGCTCCAGCAACTGCACGGATAGAGTGCGACTCCGTTGCACCACGTGACTCTCGTCTCAGCTCCGTGCGCATTCGTCTCAACCGCCAGCAATGTCCAACACTTGCCCTGGTGAAAGGGGGTCGAACTCAAACCGTGGCTCTCTTTAAAACCTGCGAGTGTTACACAGATGGCAGGTGGCTGCTTTCACTATCAAGCGTTCGCTTGAGACGTCTTTTACCCTGGCAACCATACAACTAAACTGGCACAGCAGCTACACGAATGGAAGGCCACTCCTTTTCAAATCGGAGCCCTCGCCTGGCTCATCCAGTGTTCTAACCAGACGTTCTGAAACTGGAGAAGGACTCGTCCTCCTCCGTCTCCTCTTCCTCCTCCACCACACGCCCCCTGCTCCACCTCATCGTCCATCTTTGTTTCTTCCTCCTTTTCCACCCTCCACCTCTTTCTCCGCCTGCCCCACCTCCTCTTCCTTCCTCCTGCAAGTCTCCGCTTACTTCACCCATCCGCCTCCTCCTCCTCCTGCTCTCCTCCGCCCCCTTCTCCGTGTCCTCCGTTTACTCCTCCCGTGTTCCCCCCCTGCTCCACCAGCTCATCCGCCCTCCTCCAACTCCACTCCTTCTGCCCGCCCTTTCCTCCTCCCCACCACAACCATCTCCATCATGATCACAAGCATCATCATCAGCATCGTCATCGTCATTATCATCATCAGCATCATCACAACCATCATCAACGACATCATCATCATCATCATCATCATCATCATCATCATCATCATCATCATCAACAACATCGCCATCATCATCATCATCATCATCATCGTCATCATCATCATCATCATCATCTTCATCATCGTCGTCTTCACCAGCAACAGTAGCAATATCTTATTCCGCATCTTCATAAGCATCACCATCATTGCCACCACCATCCACATGCTAATCTGCCTCCTCACCCTCGTCCTCCTCATCCTCCTCGGTCTCACCATCACCAACACCATCATCGCCACCACCAATCTCGACATCCTCATCATCACCAGAATCATCAACTACGTCACCACCATCATCAGCAGCAACATCATTACTGTCACCCCTACCACCACCAGCATCATCATCATCATCATCATCATCATCATCATCATCAGCATCATCATCACAATCGTCATGGTCATCGGCATCAGCATCGTGCTCATCATTATCATCATCATCATCACCATCATCATCATCATCATCACCATCATCATCGTAATCATCATCAGCATCATCAGCAACGTCCCCACCATCATCATCAACAACTGCACCATCAGCATCACCATCGCCCCCGCCAACCTCTTCATCAACAGCATCATTAGCATCAATTTAAGTATCATCCTCCTCATCGCAATCTTCAGCATATTCATCATCACCAACATCATAATCAGCAGCATCGTCAATGCCGTCATCATCATCAACATCATCAGCATCATCATCACCATCAACATTATCAGCATCACCATCACCATCATCATCATCAACATCGTCATCAGCATCATCGTCGTCGTCATCATCATTATCAGCATCAGATTCATCATAATAATCGTCATCGTCATCATCATCAGCATCATCATCTTCAACGTTATCAGCATCACCATCACCATCATCATCAACATCGTCACCATCATCATCATCATCGTCGTCATCATCATTCTCATCATCACATTCATCATATTAATCGTCGTCGTCGTCATCATCATCAGCATCATCATGATCATCATCATCAGCATCATCATCGTCATCGTCATCGTCATCATCATCATCAGCAGCAGCAGCATCAGCACCAACACCATCAGCATCATCAACATCGTTATTATTAGCATCATCATCATCATCATCATCATCATCATCATCATCATCATCATCATCACCAACATCATCAACATCATCACCATCATTGGGGGAAGAAGCGGAAGAAACCGCTTCTCTGCTGAGCTGAAGCCGCCGGTTGCGACACAGCTCTGCGCCGCGGCCACCTGCGGCACCTCGCCTCGGTCCGCGAGTGGCGCCAGACGCCGTCTGCGGACGCTCCAGCTTGGGCGCGGAGGCACGGGGCAGCGAAGGGAGCTGAACAGGAGCCCTTTCAGGGCCCCTGGACCTAGAGGAGCCTTCCCGGAGCCCCAGAGGGGGGCCTCGGGGGCCCGCAAAGGGCATCGTTCTCTCCCCCCGCTCCTCCTCCTCCTCCTCCTCCTCCTCCTCCTCCTCCTGCTCATCTCGCCTCCTCCTCCTCCTCCTCCTCCTCCTCATCTCTCCTCCTCCTCCTCCTCCTCCTCCTCCTCCTCCTCCTCCTCTCATCTCTTCTCCTCCTCCTCCTCCTCCTCAAAATCATCATCCATCATCATCATCATATCATCATCATCAGATCATCATCATCATCATCATCATCACCATCATCATGATCATGATCATGATCATGATCATGATCATGATCATGATCATCATCACCATCACCATCAGCATCAGCATCAGTCATCAATCATCATCATCATCGTCATCGTCATCGTCATCGTCATCATCATCATCATCATCATCATCATCATCATCATCATCATCATCATCATCATCATCATCATCATCATCGTCAGCGTCAGCGTCAGCGTCAGCGTCAGCGTCAGCGTCAGCGTCAGCGTCAGCGTCATCGTCATCATCATCATCATCCTCCTCCTCCTCCTCCTCGTCCTCCTCCTCCTCCTCCTTCTCCTCCTCCTCCCCCTCCGCCTGCTCATCTCTCCTCCTCCTCCTCCTTTCCCCCCCCCCCCCCTCCTCCTCCCTCCGCACTTGTCCCTTCCCCCCCCCCGCCGAGTCGCGCCCTGCAGCGCCGACCTGCGGGCCAGCCGGGGGCGAGACGGCACCGGCCCCGCCCTCGTGGGCCGGCGGCGCCTCTGCCTCCCACGGTGTGCCGCACGCGGCGCGCAGGCGGGCGCCGTGCGCCCCGCGCCCCGCCACAATGACCACCCCAACTGAGTATCGTTTGAACGAAGCCCGTCCCCAGCGGCGTGGCCTGGGCCCCACTGGTCGATTCCCCCCCCTAGATGGGGACACAGGCCTCACATCTGTAGATGAGGCCCGCGCCTCCTGAGAAGCAGGGGTGCTTCTAAGAAGCCCTCCCCCCTTTCCCCCCCCCCCACTGCGCATGGCTCGTGCTCGGCGCTGGGGACCCCCAACACGAGGGTCCAAGGCCGGGGGCGGAAGCTGCCCAAACGAAGGGGGGGAGGGGGGGCGGGCTGGGCGGCCCGGAAGAGGGGCGACGGGCGTGCTCAGAACACGCAGCGGGGATCCACGGACCCGCGTCCGTCCAGACCCGGGTCAGTCAGGGAGGAGGAGGAGGAGGAGGAGGAGGAGGAGGAGGAGGAGGAGGAGGAGGAGGAGGAGGAGGAGGAGGAGGAGGAGGAGGGGGAGGAGGGGGAGGAGGAGGGGGAGGAGGAGGAGGAGGAGGACGAGGAGGAGAGGAGGAGGAGAGGAGGAGGAGGAGGAGGAGGAGGAGGAGGAGGGGAGGAGGAGGGGAGGAGGGGAGGAGAAGAAGGAGGAGGAGGAGTAGGAGGGCGAGGAGGGTGAGGAGGAGGAGGAGGAGGAGGAGGAGGAGGAGGAGGAAGTGACCCGGGTCAATCCAGATCCGGGGCAGTCAGGAACTGCAAGATCCTGCAACCGACCCAGGCCTCAGTCAGTCAGTCTGCAGAGACCGTCGGTCACAAGACTGCAGTCAGGACCTGCAGTCAGGTCAGGTCAGCCATCACCGCCTCAGACCCAGTCGAGATGCAGGATCCTGCAAGTCCTTCACCCATACCCGGCTCAATGCAACCCTCGCTCTGCAGGATCCTGCAAGATCCAGAGCTCTGGCTCACCCTCGTTTGCATTGACCCCCGTCGCAAAGCTCCCGAACGCTGGCCCTTCGGAAAGGGCCTGCGAACCTGCTGTGAAAGATCACGCGCGAGATAGTTGCAGCCAGCGCAGCTGCGAAGAAACGAGACACAGCCAAACGCTGCCGCGAAGATGCCAAACACCCCAAGGCAAGATGACCCCAATGGGACGCACAACAACATACCAGTACTTGGTGTCCTCCTGGGAGGCCCGCGTCCGATCCGAACATGCAGTATAATTAGCAGCCTGGTAGGATACCCTCTGCCGAGCGGTGTGGCCACAGAGCGCCCGCCACGGAGCGTTGTCTACAAGATGTCTGGGTGCGCGCGTCGCCCCTGGGTGGGGGGGGCGACGCAAACATAGTCAGAACGAGGGGGCCGAACGGTCATTCACTGTCCCTGGCTCCATTGCTAAAGTGGGGTTCCGCGGTGCGGACTGTTGTTGTTGCTGTTGTTGTTGTGGTTGGTTAAAACAGGGCTAGGATCGGGATAAATCGCTCCAGAGCGTTCCGGAACGCTCTCAGAGCGTTCCGGAACGCTCCGGAGCGGCCGCGGCGCCCAATACATCCTCCAAACCCGCCGATTCTCAGAGATTTCGAATTATCCCGATCCGATTTTGTCCCGATCTTCGCGTCGTTTTATTGGTTGGTTGGTTGGTTGGTTGGTTGTTTGTTGATTTGTTTGTGTGTTTGTTGTTTGTTGTCGTCGTCCCACCCGCGAACCGGCCCGCGACCAACCCGCGACCCACCCACTTGCTTTGAAGAGAAAGTCGGCGTGCTTCTTCAGAGCCTCGCAAGCCCGAGCCCGCCCGACTTCAGAGGCCTCCCGGATGGGGTCCGAGTAGATGGGGTCGGAGGGACGCGCCGCATCGCTGATGCATCGCCGATGTATCGGCGATGCATCGGCGACGTCGGCGATGCATCGCCGACGTCGGCGTGGAGAACATCGGGCTCCACGTCGAACCGCATCGCCGATGCATCGGTGATGCGGCGCGATCCATCGACCCCATCCGGGAAGCCTAAAAGACTTCGGCCGCGGGCGAGATGCTGGCCCCCTCTGTCTCTCAGAGGGCGAGGCCCTCCCTGGAAGAGAGGGAGGAGGACGAGGGGGAGGAGGAACAGAGTAAACCCAAGACTCATCAGCGATGTTGAAATACACCCTCCCACCAAGATCCCTCTTCATAGGCCCCATACAAGGGGTCATTTCCACTGGAAGAATTGCCTCGTTGGGGGACAACCGTGTGAACATCTTGAAGCGTGCCAAAACACCATTCTCCGACAATCCGGAATCGCTTCCAAACACCGTTTTTGGTACGTGAACCATGAGAACCAGTGAACGTCTTGCAGAGTTCAAACATGGATGTGCGCGGCGCTCAAGCGAGAACCACAATGTGAAAAAAAGAGCCACCCTCAATCCGTGAAGCTTGTGCAAGATAGTGAACGTATTTGCGAGGCGCTCAAGCGAAAACAATCATTTTGAAAATGAACCGCCCACAAGCCGTGAAACCCTTGCAACATTTGAAAAAGAATGTGCGCGGCGAAAAGGGGAGAACCACATTTTAAAACCATCCGCCCTCAATCTGTGAGGCTCCTGCAATTCCGATCAAGAGTATGCGCGGCGCTAATGCGAGACCCACATGTTGAAAACCACCCGCCCTCATTCTGCAAAACTCTTGAAACTTCTAGAAGAATATGCGCGGCGCTAAGGCGAGAACCACATTTTGAAAACCACCCGCTCTCATTCCGTGAAGCTCTTGCAAAAAATGGCAACGGATGTGCGCGGCGCTAAGGCAAGAACCACATTTTGAAGAACAACCGCTCTCAATCCTCACCCCCCCTGCAAATGTTTAAATAGAATGCGCGCGACGCCAAATCGAGAGCCACATTTTGGAAGCGACCCGCCCTCCATCTGTGAGGTTATTGCCAATTTCTCAGCATCAAGGTGATAAGCGGTTTTTTCAAAGGTGAAGCGACCGGCCCGACCTTTCGACCGGAATCGGGGTGCAACAGGGAGGAGATATCTATAAGGAAAAGGAACGGAGGATGAGGAGGAGGAGGACCATGATGAGGAGAAGGAGGGAGGGAGAGGTGGAGAATGAGGAGAAGAGGATGAGGAGGGAAAGGAGGGGGAGGAGGAGGAGGAGGAGGAGAAGGAGGAGGAAGAGGAGGAGATATCTATGAGGAAAGAGAATGGAGGACGACGACGGCCCCCTCCGCCCCCCAGAGGGCCAGGCCCTCCCTGCAGCGCCCCGCGCGGCCGTGGCCCCGGGCTCGCCGGCGGCGCGGGGGCACCTGTAGTAGCTGCCCCTGTCGTACGCGCTGCCGCCGTAGCTGCCCCTGTCGTACGCGCTGCCGCCTGTCGGGGGGCGCTGTCGCCGCCCCCTGGCCGCCGCCGGGCACTGCTTACAGATCGGCGGGGGGGGGGGGGGGGGCGCCAGACGCGACCCTGGCCCAGGCTGCCCCCCCGACGTTGCGCGCCACTCTGGAGCCCCAGGGGCGCTCTGGGCATCGCCAGGGTTGCGCTCAACCGTCCGTGGGCGCCTCACTGGAGGTCCTGAGAGCACCCTGGACTACGGACACCTCTGGCAACGCTCTCCTCCTCCTCTTCCTCCTGCTGTAATCGTAATAATAACAATAATAGCACGAGTACTGATCGTAGTGATGGTAGTCGCCGTCGTGGTATTAGTTGTAGTAATCGTAGTAGCAGCAACAATGGCAGTAGTCGCCGTCGGAGCAGAAACAACAATAGTAGTAACCTTACAAGCAATGGCAAAACAACAACAATAATAAGTCTCCTCTGCGGCGGTGGTGATCCAAACCTTGAAGGTGTGGGCACGTCGTGCCCCCAATTGGGAAATCAGTTTCGAGTTTCGGTTTCTGCATTCCCCACCCCACTCTCCTTATCAGCTGTTCATTGTATTGCGCCCAAGATTGATGAGGATAGGTGGATGATGATTCTTCCGTTGGCTTCAGCAGGTCCTCTCCCAAGCGGGGGAAGGAAGGCAGGCCTCCCCCCGAGCCCGCTCGAGGAGGCTAGCGTACAAGGTCCCAGTCAGTGATGTCTGGCCACACCCCTTGGTGGGCTGTCCATCCCTGCCGGTAGCGGTCGGTCACGTCTCCCCGCGACGCTTTGTCAATGGGGTTATCTTCACTCGTCACCCGCTCAATCCAGGCGTGCAGCTCTCTCTCGCGGAACATTTCCCATGTCCGGTGCGTGATCACATTGAGGGACGTCACTGAGCTGTCAAATGCGCTGAACGGTCAGGCGCCCCAGGAAACTCTCGAGAGGCGCGGCTGCAATGACAGGTCTCACCATCCCCATGAGACTTAATCTCTCCTAGGCCGTGTCCCCCCAAACCGGGTAGGAAGACGTCTAAGTAGTAGTAGTAGAAGTAGTAGTAGTAGTAGTAGTAGTAGTAGTAGTAGTAGTAGTAGTAGTAGTAGTAGTAGTAGTAGTAGTCGTAGAAGTAGAAGAAGTAGTAGTAGTAGTAGTAGTAGTAGTAGTAGTAGTAGTAGTAGTAGTAGTAGTAGTAGTAAAAGTGGTAGTAGTAGTAGTCGTAGTAGTAGTAGTAGTAGTAGTAGTAGTAGTAGTAGTAGTCGTAGTAATAGAAGTAGTAGAAAAAGTCGTAGACGTGGTACTAGTAGTACTGATACTAGCGGTGGTACTAATACCCGTACTGTTAGTAGTAGTAGTCGTAGTAGCAGTAGCAGTAGTAGTAGTAGTAGTAGTAGTAGTAGTAGTAGTAGTAGTAGTAGTCGTAGTCGTAGTAGTAGTAGTAGTAGTAATCGTAATATTGGTCGTAGTCGTAGTATCACTAGTCGTAGTAGTCGCAGTAACAGTAGTAGTAGTAATAATAAACATAATAAAAGTGGTAGTGGTAGTAGTAGTCGTAGAAGCAGTAGCAGTAGTAGCAGTAGTAGTAGTAGTACTACTACTACTACTGCTACTACTACTGTTAGTACATGTCTTAATAGTAGCAGTAGTTGTCGTAGTGTGAGTCATAGTAAGATGGGTAATCATAATGCGAATGCTGGGGGTAGCAGTTGTAGTAATAGTAGAAGTAATAGTAGTCGTAGTAGTAATAATAGTAGTAGTAGTAGTAGTCGTAGTAGTAGTTGTAGTAGTCGTAGTAGTAGTACTGGTCGTAGTAGTAGCAGTGGTAGTAGTAATAGTAGCCGTCGTCGTCGTCCTCGTTGTTGTCGTCGTCGCCGTACTAATAATGGCAGGATTGGAAATAGTTGTAGTAATGAGACCAGTTGTAGTAGAAGTAAGAGTAGTAGTAGTAGTAGTAGTAGTAGTAGTAGTAGTAATAGTAGTAGTAGTAGTAGTAGTAGTAGTAGTAGTAGTAGTAGTAGTTGTAGTCGTAGAAGAAGTAGTAGTAGTAGTAGTAGTAGTAGTAGTAGTAGTAGTAGTAGTAGTAGTAGTAGTAGTAGTATTAGTAGTAATGAGACCAGTTGTAGTAGAAGTTGTAGTAGTAGAAGTAAGAGTAGCACTAGTAGTAGTAGTAGTAGTAGTAGTAGTAGTAGTAGTAGTAGTAGTAGTAGTATTAGTAGTAATAGTAGGAGTAGTAGTAGTAGTAGTAATAGTAGTAGTTTAGTAGTAGTAGTTAGTAGTAGTAGTAGTAGTAGTAGTAGTAGTAGTAGTAGTAGTAGTAGTAGTAGTCAGTAGTAGTAGTAGTAGTAGTAGTAGTAGTAGTAGTAGTAGTAGTAGTAGTAGTAGTAGTAGTAGTAGTAGTAGTAGTAGTGGTACTCGTAGTAGTAGGGGAAGTGGAACTCGCAGTGCTAGTATTATTCCCAACCCTCCTGCGTTGGGTTCTCGTTTTGAATAGAGCACTGCTCGCGCCTTCCTTCCTTCCCGTCCCTCTCTTCCCCCTCTGCCTGACCTCGCCATACCTGGGGGGCTGCGATCTGCGAAACTGTCGCCACTTTCGAGGGCTGCTGGGGGGCCCAGCACAGTGTGCACCCGCGGCGGATTCAAATGGGACCTCGCCATCCCTGGGGGGCTGCGATCTGTGAAACTGTCGCCACTTTCGAGGCCTGCTGGGGGGCCCAGCACAGTGTGCACCCGCGGCGGATTCAAATGGGACTTCGCCATCCCTGGGGGGCTGCGATCTGCGAAACTGTCGCCACGTTCGAGGCCTGCTGGAGGGCCCAGCACAATGTGCACCCGCGGCGGATTCCAATGGGACCTCGCCATCCTTGGGGGTCTGCGATCTGTGAAAGTGTCGCCACGTTCGAGGCCTGCTGGGGTGCCCAGCACAGTGCGCACCCGCGGCGGATTCAAATGGAGCCTCGCCATTCCTGGGAACTGCGATCTGTGAAACTGTCGCCACTTTCGAAGCCTGCTGGGGGGCCCGGCGCAGTGCGCACCCGCGGCGGATTCAAATGGGACCTCGCCATCCCTGGGGGGCTGCGATATGTGAAAGTGTCGCCACTTTCGAGGCCTGCTGTGGGGCCCAGCACAGTGTGCACCCGCGGCGGATTGCGTGACCTCGCCATCCCTGGGGGGGCTGCGATCTGTATGAAACTGTCGCCACTTTCGAGGCCTGCTGGGGGGCCCAGCACAGTGGCACCCGCGGCGGATTCAAATGGGACCTCGCCATCCCTGGGGGGCTGCGATCTGTGAAACTGTCGCCACTTTCGAGGCCTGCTGGGGGGCCCAGCACAGTGTGCACCCGCGGCGGATTCAAATGGGACCTCGCCATCCCTGGGGGGCTGCGATCTGTGAAACTGTCGCCACTTTCGAGGCCTGCTGGGGGGCCCAGCACAGTGTGCACCCACGGCGGATTCAAATGGGACCTCGCCATCCCTGGGGGGCTGCGATCTGTGAAACTGTCGCCACTTTCGAGGCCTGCTGGGGGGCCCAGCACAGTGGGTACCACCGCGGACTCCAATTAGACCTCGCCATCCCTGGGGGGCTGCGATCTGTGAAACTGTCGCCACTTTCGAGGCCTGCTGGGGGGCCCAGCACAGTGACGCCACGGGCAGATTCAAATTAGACCTCGCCATCCCTGGGGGGCTGCGATCTGTGAAACTGTCGCCACTTTCGAGGCCTGCTGGGGGCCCAGCACAGTGACGTCCTGCGCAGATTCAATTAGACCTCGCCATCCCTGGGGGGCTGCGATCTGTGAAACTGTCGCCACTTTCGAGGCCTGCTGGGGGGCCCAGCACAGTGGGCACCCACGGCGGATTCAAATGGGACCTCGCCATCCCTGGGGGGCTGCGATCTGTGAAACTGTCGCCACTTTCGAGGCCTGCTGGGGGGCCCAGCGCAGTGTGCCCGCGGCGGATTCACATGTGACCTCGCCATCCCTGGGGGGGCTGCGATCTGTGAAACTGTCGCCACTTTCGAGGCCTGCCGGGGGGCCCAGCACAGTGGGCACCCGCGGCGGATTCAAATGGGACCTCGCCATCCCTGGGGGTCTGCGATCTGTGAAAGTGTCGCCACGTTCGAGGCCTGCTGGGGGGCACAGCACAGTGGGCACCCACGGCGGATTCAAATGGGACCTTGCCATCCCTGGGGGGCTGCGATCTGTGAAACTGTCGCCACTTTCTTACCTCGCTCGTCGCTGCGTTTCGAGGGCTGCTGGGGGCTGCGATCTGTGAAACTGTCGCCACTTTCGAGGGCTGCTGAGCTTGTCCCAAGTAGCTTACATATCAAACAACGGATCCTGCAATTTGATTGTCCGTGCAAGTTTCGGCCAACTCCTCGTTTCCCATGATACAAGTGGGTTGGGTACGTCACAGGGTAATTATTGATAGTAGTAGTAGTAGTAGTAGTAGTAGTAGTAGTAGTAGTAGTAGTAGTCCTCGTAGTAGCAGTAGTAGTAGTGGTCGTAGTAATAGTAATACTGATGATAAATGTAGTAGTAGGAGTAGTAGTAGTAGTAGTAGTAGTAGTAGTAGAAGTAGTAGTAGTAGTCGTAGTAGTAGTAGTAGTAGTAGTCGTCGTAGTAGTAGTAGCCACAGTAGTGGTAGGAGCGAGTAACAATTATGATAGTAGTAGTAGTAGTAGTAGTAGTAATAGTAGTAGTAGTAGTAGTAGTAGTAGTAGTAATAGTAATAGAAGTAGTAGTAGTAGTAGTAGTAGTAGTAGTAGTAGTAGTAGTCCTCGTCGTCGTAGTAGTCATAGTTGGAATCCGAGTCGCAGTCATGGTAGTAGTAGTAGTAGTAGTAGTATTAGTAGTAGTAGTAGTAGTAGTAGTAGTAGTAGTAGTAATAGTAGTCGTAATAGTAGTACTTGGAACAGTAGTAGTAGTAGGAGTAGTAGTAGTAGTCGTAGTAGTAGTAGTAGTAGTAGTAGTAGTAGTAGTAGTAGTGGTAGTAGTGGTTGTAGTAGTACTGGTACTGGTTGTA